GGTTCCTGCAATTAGAATATCTCTCATGAATGGTTGCTCACTTCAAAAAAAAACCATATTGCGTTTGGGCCGATACAACGGTACGGCAAAGAGCACTGTTCGAAACATATTCTCACGTTTGGCGTGGTACAATCACAAAGAAAAACTGTGGAAATTAGATTGCTAAATGACGACAAAACACAAAAGAAGACTTGATTTTGCGCTACAAACAATTATTCCAGAACAAAAATTCTTAATCTTTCAAATGCTATTAGGTCGCAAAACTCTGCAAAAATACGATCCGAGGCACAACTATATTTTTTCCAAAAATGTCCAACGAAAGAAGTCTCACCATCAGGTAGTAGCCGAAGACAGCTACCAAAATCAGCCAGCCGTATATGTCCATGTATGTCAAGAAGAACATTATCTGGTTTCACATCACTAAAACAAAACCAATGTTAAAGCAGAAATATTAATTATATAAGAGCATACCGATGGACATATCCCAAATTGTGAATGGAATCAATGGCGAGCACCATTTCCGCGATATAAAACCGGGCCATGGTTTCAGGAATGCGATCTTCGAATTTCGACAACAGCGTCAACATATCTCCGCCAACATAGTAGTCCATGACGAAATACTAAACAATTTTGTGGAGTGAGGTTTTCTATTATTAAAACCTTCCTAATTTTTCGTCCCGCATGCAAAGTGGAAGCACGACACTGCAAAGCTGCCTACCAGATTTTTTTCGTCTTGGAATGCAAAGTGTAGGCTAGTTATCCAACGACGGTCGCCGTAGACGAGCACATCTCGTTCTTCTCGGAAACATGCCGTTTCTGCTCGCTTCAACATCTCCCACTTGTTGAGAATCTTCATGGCATAGATCTAAAACAAATTACCTTCACAATTCCATCGCTTTTTGGAAGCCGTTGAGAGAAAAGAAAACGCTCAAAGAAAGGAGAAAGGAGAAGAATTGTCAGAAATCGACAAATGAACGGCAACTAAAGAAATCATGAAGGGCTACAAATAGATTACTGAAATGACATCAAATGTTCACCTCTCCAACACCACGCATTCTTACAACGGCCACTTCGCCGAAGGCTCCCTTTCCAATTACTTTCAAGAGCTCGAAATCGTCGCGGCATAATCGCAGCTCTTTAGCTTGCGTTACGACGGGTTTCACTGAAATGCGCCTCTGTAATATTAATGCCAACATCAAGGTGTAAAATAAATCAAAAAAGAATCTTAAAGAGATAAATAGGTGAAAGCTTGTTATTCGTATGCTGATAGTGAGCTGAATGAAAATTTTCAATGCCTATTTTAAAAAATCGAAAAAGCATTGAAAAATTGAATAAAGAAAGAGATCTCGCAAACAACTACCGGAACTGTCATAGTAGAAGTTATCCCAAAACTCTTCCTTCCGTAACGACCCGCTTTCCAGAGCTGGCTCAATCAATATTTCAATTATACCCTTCGCAGAAGACGAACTGTAGAATTTCATAAGAAAGGAATGCAACAAAGAAGCACAGGTCCAGCTTCTAGGAAGAATGAGTCTTTTTCGAGACAATCACCCCGAAAGAACTGCAAAAAGCGGACCGGTCAGATAAGCTCATCAACAAATCGAAGGCGGCCGTTAGCAAACCGGAACCTTCTAATTTGATTAGACATGTCTTTTCCTTACAACTAAGCTCTGAAACCTGAAACATTTCTAGGAAGGTTCCATATGAAACTCTAGTACTTCTAATTGCGGTCCCAGACTCCCTGACCACCAACCTTGAAGTGAATCCCATAACGGAATTTAAGATAAACCTGCATTTATGACTCGCGGCTTCGCTTAACGCTTTTGGATCATCTCCATACATTCAAAAATTTTCTAAAGGAGAAAGATTCTCCCTTGAAATTGTTTATTTGAACTTTGCCTTAACAAGTTTTGGCCTTGCCACACAAAATGATTCAGAGCCTAGCGATCCGTCCCTCTAACATTAAACGTAGATGCAGAAAAGGGAAACATTGACATAAAGCACGTTCGAATTTCTAATTGTCTTCATGCATCATTGCAAATAAAAAACATGTAAGTGGCAACGATCTGCCAAGCGAAGCGACACCCTGACTTCACTGGTTCAAGCACTTTAAACAAATTATACATACCAGAGTCTGTAACGTGAATAACGCCTAATTTGAAATCTTGAGCTGAAAGTGCGAACGATTGTTAATTGAAATTAAGAGTTAGAAATACGAAGCTTCAAACCCTAATGCGAAAATATTAGGCCACAATATGAGCGAAAAATTTCATATGCCACCAATATGTAGCAAAAAATTCTCCTACCCAGCCTCTCTAAATCTGCAGCAAAACTATTTCTTTCTTATCACTTTTGCACAGCTCCATTTTTCGGGAACCTATTTCAGATGTAAAATTTTCAATTTATCAGACTCCAACAGGTTTGTCTAGGTTTCTAGCATGAATACACACTATTCTCAACTTAGGCTGGGCAAACAAAGGGGATACAAAACCTACAAAAACAAGACCGCTTTAGTTGGGTGGCTATTGCCTGGTACCCCATGAATAAAAACTATTGGTTCAGAACAAGAGAACACATTAAAGACAGGTGAAATGACAAAAAACTATTGTTCGAGCTTGTCCACGAAACAAATGTTTAGCAACAACAATAACCACAACGAAACTCGAAAAACATGCAAGCTGTGTCAACTACCACCTCGTCAGCTAAAACATAATTTCGCGGGTTCTACATTCCTTTGTATCACCTTCGGTAATTCCACCAACTCACAGTTACAGAAGAAGGAGTGAATGTTTACGGATCACTAGGAGAAGTCTTAAATTTGTTGGAAAAACAACTGTTAACAATCAGAAAGCAGATAAAATTGTAATAAACGTAAGAATCAAAGAAAAACCATAAAAGCTAATACTGTATAAAGAGGAATGAAACTGACCAGATTCAACAAATTCAGCTACACACTTTTCCTTCCGCAATGTGCTGCTGCAGCACTCATCATATAAACAGATGAGGGTGTCTGAAAAAAGGCTCTATATTTACTCAAATAATCATCTCCTCTTCAAAATTTTCATGGATCCCAGGAACTATGACCATAACACTTGTCTGGTGGTGAAATATGGCTTATTGGGTTTGAATTTACAGGAATTTTGAAACTGCACAAAAGAGTATGCTGTTCCAAAGAGCATGCAGCTGTCCTTAACCGCTACTAACTTTAACATGATCGATATAGTGAATTTCCTAGATAACATACGCTGCAGTAAGAAATATTCGTAGTTTGTTAGCATAGACAACTCATAAAATGGGGTAATCGCCTCGTAAAAACTGTTATGAGGCTCTCCAAACATTCGACCCGAGCCAAAGACATAAAGCGATAGACTATGAAAAGGAAACGCAAACAAACAAATGATTCCTTCGATACATACCGAGGAGTGCTTCGAAAGACAAAGCGGTACTGCTCTTGGACGGTCCATCCAGATAGCTGGCCTCAAGCCTTGACAGCCGGCCCACCCCACCGCTGTCTTCCGCCTCGGCCATCTGAAACAGATTTCTGACTCCGTGACAACTGGTTCTTATCAAACTACCGCCCATCAAAGACGCTTTGCTGTTTTAGTGCCTATAAATAGGCGTACATCGTAATATCTAATGAGAACAAATATTAACTGGTCTACTTAGAACAGAGGAATTTGCTAAATCTTAACTTGCTTCAAAGCGACATTTGAAAAAAAAATCTTATAAAACAATAGAAAGACGAAAGTCAAGCAAAGTCTCAAATGATCACAAAATAGAAGAGATTTTCAACTTGAATTTGCGAAAGTATCATGGCCGCCGTGACTTTGACATTCAATTACAAGTTGAAGAACTTCAATTATTTGGAAAGGGCGTGACCTCAACGCAGAGCCACCCATAAGATGGTTTTTGTTGTCAAAAGCAAGGCGAACGGGCACACTAGAAAAAGAGTATAACTACTTGCCACACTTAGCCACGAAGAATGATTGGTTCCTGCTAAGAAAACACCGAGGCCGTACACTACGTCTAGACTGCCTCAAAAAATGCAACTATGTATCAGTGATAAATGTTCGCGTTCCTCTCGTACAGCCGGTCGCAAGATTTGCTACAATTAGCAATAAGTTTCACTGATTACTGGTTCCTTCTTTAACTCGAGTAATTCACTAGAAATGGTAGAATTCAATTACAGAACCCATAGCTGCGAACCAAACAATGTCATTATCGATGCAACTGCGCGCCAACGAAGAAGATAAATAACGGAATCCGCCAGAGATCCCTAATAAGATATCCCGAGAGCCCAACAAAATCGAAGCTGCGCAGCCATGCGTAAAGAACTACTTACACACAACAGGAAAGTAGTCAAACGTCCTCTACCGGGTGCTGGTCAGAAGGAAATCAAGCGGGAGGGAAATGTTCGACGAACTAGAACTATACTTGACCTCAATGAACGAGAAAATCGATGTATAGTTCTCACAAACCACAATAAGGCCCATTCTACGAAGAGAAATCAGAGAATTGAATTCGTGCAAATGATAGCAGCAAAAAGAAAAATTTAATCTCAACAAACAGTAACAATTTATCATTGCTTTGTCATATGTCACGTCAATTATGAAGAAACATTCGATCAAAAACCGAGCTGGAAGAATTTCGTTAAGAAAGGCTTGTTCTCTACACTGAACACATTCGTGGAAACGAGACGTCTAAGAACCTAATCGCGAGAACAAAGGAGAAAGATGAGTTACGCGAATCATAACAAAACAATCACCAAACGCTTACGTCATCAGCCGACAATTCGACTACAGACGTTGCTCGTCGAATATCAAAAACACTTTGCAAATTTCCGCATACACCAAACCGCCAACGAATCGATATGGGCGCCCGACTAGGCGCTCTACGAGGGAGGAAAGAGTGCGCCAGACGCACTTGCTGAAGGCTAGATGGCAGAGCTTTTCTAGGCCGGTGCAACTCCAGAGCGTCTCGTTACGAGCTGTGCTGATTCGTTTTTCACTCACAAATTGAGCTGGTGCTAACAACATTCTGCAACATTCACTCTCATGCTAACAAGGGTTGTTCATGGAACAGAGGGCTCAGGCTCAGAAAAACCTATGTACTTCATGACCACTTAGCAGTAAAGCCTAATAAAGCCTACGGATTAAGTTCCAGCACTTATTTCTAGACCTCAATGTGTAGTTCCTAGGTCAATGCGCAATTTCAAGTCTCCCATTAATGCTGCAAGATCCACTCTTCTAGGTTTCACCGCAAGCATGCCTATCACTGATTTGATGTTGCTGCTCTATAAGACTCTTCCAATGACTCTCGATGGGTAACGACGCCACACCGCCAGTTGCGTCCGGTTCCCACTGGGTATGGTAACCGTACCTCATAAATTCTAACCGCTTTTGAAAACCCAGCAGCTAAATCATACGACGACTGTCGACGAGTCCCTTACATTTCGTTGAATATTATAACATCATGAACTATAAGCTTTTGCCGGGAAAATTGTTTAAGAATAGAGAGATGAAACCTAGGCAGGTGATCTGTTTACCTATGAATTCCATAAAATAGCTCCTCGCAATTTTAGCTTCTAACCATTGGTAAGACTCTTTCTTTACTGGCATCATCACATGAAGTACCTTTTCCTTTACCATCCGGAAACGATCATGGTGCGAAATGTGCTATTTTAAATGTAATGATCATCATGGGGAATCATCGCAGAATTAACAAACTCATTATGAACTGACAAAAATAATTGTACCTAGTACGAAGCAAAGAGTGAGGAGGAGAGGAAAAGGAAGAAGAGAGCAATTACGAGAACAGAGTGAGGAGAAAAGACGAGGACGGGAAGCGGATGATTTTCGGCTTCGTCTACACTACACAACGCAATCATCAATCCTGAAAGGCCTATGAACCTTCAAATGTCGAGTCGCCGCTTGAACACTGCAATTTACAGCCTGCGTAATCCGTTTCCCTATTTCTCGAAGACTCGAACATCTCAAAGAACCCCTATGTATGCCAGGACATTTGTACCACTCTCCATGATTTAGTAGGCCTCTGCAAACCATGTCACTTCAATCTTCTTTCGAGAACCCCTATGAAAGCGGGGTAGGAAGTGCGTTCGTTGAAAAAAAAAGTCCGCTTAACCTCACATTTCGCAACACAACTCAACATAAAAGACGAACCTCATCCATTAATTCTGAGCATGGCCAGCATAAACACTCGGCTAATTCACGTCGCTTCCAGCTGTTCATTTTCAAGCTTTCTTTTTTATTGAATTGGAGAAGGTTTTAATTGGAACCAGAGCATGAAAACAATTTCACGGAGCAGATCTACCAAATGCCAGATAGAATGTGTCCAACAAGAGTCGGACACATCGGGCGGAGGATTCAATTTATTTGAGATATAATAGAAATCTTTAGAGCAGAACGAATGGAATTTTCAATAGCGTCATAGTCATCATCAACATGGAAAACCACATATTCATCGGCGCATAGGGCCTGTTGCAATGAGGATAGGCACATCTTCAATTTAGCAGTATTTGCAGATAAGAAATAAATCTCGGAAAAATAGAGCGACGTCAAGCCCTTGCGATGACTAAGTATTGAAATCCTTGATGACTAAGTGTATCGAAAATCCAAACGCGAAAGCCCATCCTATGGAGCTCTTCGACAGGCAATTGCGGCATCATACGATATTCATCAGAAGGTAAAGTTACGGAATGAGCCTACCCACCCTTTATGCCAAGCGGTAAATTTAATTCGCCATCATTAAACGGTGTAAAGGTAACGCACAGGGTCACATCGTTCACCAACATCTTTCTCTTTTCCACACACTACTGTTCCTCAGCGTGCAAGACCAGGACTAGGGATTACAGGACAAGATATGACGACAAGCAAAAGTCCGAGGTCAGGCTTGAATTAGAACAGTAATCTGTGGAAAGGGAATGTTCCGTGAGAGGACCCGCGAGGCGTACGTTCGAAAGAAAATTATTAGGACAGGGGATGGTGAATGAGAGAGGCAACATAAGAAAAGCGAGAGAGAAGTTTGAAGCTGTAGGTTTCGGCTCTGATCCACTATGACACCAAAAAACAGTCATTTCGTGGATTCTCTAACGTCTCCTCACACACAGATCAATATTTTATGTCCCGCATAGCGTTAGTTATGAAATTACCGCACATACATAGCGCTGAAAATAGGCTTCCAAATGACTAAAGCAACTTAATTGCACTTACCCAACCAAGACGTTGACTGATGATGGTTGCGTGAGAGTACTAACCGGAATCCAAGAACTGTGGGAAATGTAGTTCAATGGGGTAGTTGAGAAACGTTGAAAGCTTCGCTAAAGTAATGAATCAGGGCAAGATGCCAAAATATCACATCAAGTCGATGGCCAATTCAAGATCAGGTAATCAAGTGGCAACCCAAGTATTGACAGGAATGACTGAAGATTTCATGATGTTGCCCAGATCACTATTTAAAACTTTTTTACTCTTGATGCCTCAGAGTGACATACAAGGATCGATGCAGGAGACAGCGAGGCGCAGTGAAAATTCGAACAAAGTTAGTCAATTGCAATTACGACTTTTGTGGGGGGGAAGCGGTTGCGTTGTACATAAGGCTGGCGTCAGAGTCCGCAATCCGTCGCAGGTTTTGCGCGATTCGCGCGAATCGCAAAAATCGCAAGTGCCCCATTTGGAAATTTGAAACACTGAATATAAAACAAATAGAATCATCTATCGCCATTCAGCCACCTTCAAGCAGAAATGGCGGCGATATTGGAGAGCACCTTGCAGTGTTCGGGCACTTGTGATTTCTGTGACCCGTCGCGCGAATCGCGCGGAACCTGCGACGGATCGTAGACTCTGACACCCCGTAACACGAATCCTCGCACAATATTCGCGTCCCTCTAAGGCTGGTGTCAGAGTCCGCGATCCGTCGCAGGTTTCGCTGATTTTCGCGATTTTGCGATTTGCGCGATTTTCGCGATTTTCGCGAAACCTGCGATGGATCACAGGAGTTGGAAGTGCCCGATGAATACTGCGAGGTGTTGTTTAATCCTGCTGCGAATTCTGCTTGGCAGTAAAGATTGGAAGACGAATGTTTCTACTTGTTTCATGTTCAATGTCTATTAGTTCATTGAAATGCTCTTGAATCGTTCCTATTTTTTTTTTTTTTTTCAGGAATCAAACCAAACCAATCACAAAAATTGCAAGTGCCCCATTTGAACAATTGAAACACTGGATATGAAACAAGTGGAATCATGAGCAGTCTCCATTAAACCATAACCATCAAGCAGAAGTGACGGCGGGATTGGAGAACACCTTGCAGTATGGATGGGGCACTTGTGATTTCCGTGACCCGTCGCGTGATTCGCGCAAATCGCGAAAATCAGCGAAACCTGCGGCGGATCGCGGACTCTGACACCAGCCTAACGAATCGCCTCCACGATTCATAAAGGGATCCTCTTGACACTTCTTGAATCATACAGCCTTCGTTTAATCTAGATGGTGGAGTAATTTAGGACCAACTATTTATAATGATCCACCAACATTCCAAATGGTATCCAGTGCACATAACGCGAACAG